ACACTCTCCTGACCTTGCTCCCCCAGACCAAATGTTCCCTATTCCTCTCTAGGAGTGGGCCCAATCACTGCCAGACTGGGGCACGTAGGATTCTTCATCATTAGCAGGCTTGAGTTTTCTTAAATCTTGATAAACCTCCCCCTAGAGTTTGGCTAGGAAGTGGTTGGTGGGACGTGCAGGGATCACCATGCAGGGATCACCACTCGGCCCTGAGGGTATAGCCTAGAAGTTGTCCTGAATTCAGGGAGCCTTGTAGGCCACTTTGCAGCCAACCACGTTCCTGCCCTTGGTCGCCAACCTCAGCCCTCTACCGCTTTCCCTAGTGTCTTGTACCATCTGCAGTGGACAAATCTGGCCCACAAAAAGGAGCCCAAAGAACAAGGCAGAGGAGAGTCAGCCTGGCCCCTTTATCATCAGATTTTGTCACGCATCCTGGCTCATTCCAGAACCCAGGTCTGAAGGTTATCACCCTTTACTGCCTGGCCTCCACGTGCCTAGTTAGAATGTTGAAAACACATTGTGGTTCAGTCTTCCAGCCTGGCTTCAGTGCTCATTTTCCTTAGATGAGAGAGAGAGAGAGAGAGAGAGAGAGAGAGAGAGAGAGAGAGAGAAATGAATGGAAATGAGCACTCTTTCTCACACCCAAGCTTGTGCAGCAGCAAAGCTGGTGATACAAATATGAGGTGTGGGAGGGACTGGAGAGATGCTGAGAGACAGACAGGAGGGTGGTGAGCATCTGGAGAGGGGATTCGGGCTGATAGTTGTAAGCTGCCTGCTGGGTCCCCAGGAGGATGCAGACACCTCTCCCTCCTTAGAAAACTAAATCCAAACCAAGTCTTGGGAAAGAATTCATTTTAAAAAGAACTGCCAGCTTCTGGAGAGACCTGGTAAAGGAGCAAGGGCCCCTCTCTTTCTGGTTGTCTTTGATTGCCTCAAATATCAGGAGGTTTTGAGGACCCGGAATTGGAGGAAGAACAATTTCTTCCCTGGGCCCAGACGTCCTGAGGCATCCTTGATTCCTGAGACTCTGTAGCCCAGGATATTCTAATAATTTGGGGGGTAGAGGGTGGGGATGGAGTGAGGGTTACAGGCAGGATAGGGATCAGACAACCTAGGCTGGGCAACGCCCCTCACTCCTCCTCTCCCTACCGCGCAAGCGAAGAGAAGGTGAGTCCCTTTCCCCAGTGCCCCTTCCTGTGCCAAGGAGCAAGCAGCACTTGCTCAAACCAGGCAGGACGTCTTGGGCAGCAGAGGTAGCAGAGCCTTCCAGGAAGCTCCTAGCCTAGCCTAACCTGGCCACAGAGCCAGAGGGGGAAGCATGGGCTCAGACCCTCCTCCCATTTCCCAGCCTGCTGGGTCCTCTGGGCAGCAGGCTCTGGCCTGCCCTTCAGACCATAGGAGCTGAGAAGCCGCAGGAATAATAAACTCAGGCTTGGAGGAGGCAGGGTAGACCTGAGAAATAGGAAAAACCAGTTTTCAAAACCTGGGGAGGGGAGAGTTTCTTCTTCTTCGCCTCTCCTTCTGAAAATGCTAAATAGTGAACTCTGCTCCTGGTCTACCCACACAAAACCCTAGACACAACCCTTTTTCCTTTAGGTCTCACCTCACCACACGGAGAGGGACATTTACGCACCCTTCCCTTGAGGGAATGGGGCTCAAGCAACGCAGGGGTTAACTTTTCTGAAAACACAATTAACTTTTTCCTATCCTGCGTGGGGAGGGGAGGGCTATATTTATTTAATCACTGAGGGATGGGGTGGTCTCAATCCAAACGCTCCCTCCTCCCTCAAAGGCACAGCCGCCTCTTTCGCAGATCCTGCGTAGGTGGAACAGGACGCGTTGTGTTGTCGGGGAGAGAGAGAGAGAGAGAAAGGAGAAGGAGAAGAAGGAGGGAAAAAAAAGGTTGATAGGTTTGTGCGCGGGTCCCTCGCGCGGGCTGCGCTCCTCCTGGGTGCTATTTGACAATTCCTGCCTCTGCCATTGGTCAGTGTTGGATCAGATGGTTGTATTTCCTTCTGGCCCTCACTGGCACCTCGCCATCCCCCCTCAGCTAAAACCCAATCTCAGATATACTACTAATAGGCGCGGCGCTCGGACTATAAAACACAACAAATCATAAACCCGGCGGAGCAGCAGCGGCCGAGCGCGCCTCCCCTCCCAATGAGTTCCTATTTCGTGAACTCCACCTTCCCCGTCACTCTGGCCAGCGGGCAGGAGTCCTTCCTGGGCCAGCTGCCGCTCTACTCGTCGGGCTATGCGGACCCGCTGAGGCACTACCCCGCGCCCTACGGGCCCGGGCCCGGCCAGGACAAGGGCTTTGCGGCTTCCTCCTATTACCCGCCTGCTGGCGGCGGCTACGGCCGAGCGGCGCCCTGCGACTACGGGCCGGCGCCGGCCTTCTACCGCGAGAAGGAGTCGGCCTGCGCGCTCTCGGGCGCCGAAGAGCCGCCCCGGTTCCACCCCGAGCCGCGGAAGTCCGACTGTGCGCAGGACAAGAGCGTGTTCGGCGAGGCCGAAGAGCAGAAGTGCTCCACTCCGGTCTACCCGTGGATGCAGCGGATGAATTCGTGCAACAGTGAGTGAGCCCTCCCGCGGCCGCCCCGACCCCCGCGGGCCCCCACCCCCGGGGACAGACGTAGCGCCCCCTCCCTCCCCCGGGGTGCCGGGTGGGCATCTCCGTTAGGAGCTCGGGGAAGACTGGGCGCCCGCCCGAGGTCTCCCGCTCTGTCCTCTCGCCCTCAGGAGTTACAAAGTTTGCAAAGTCCCAGCTGCACTGGGAGCCAAGGGGGAGCGAGTGGGCTCTCGCGGAGCGGCGCGCCAGAGCCCGATGCCGGGGCAGGGGAGGGGGCAGGGGCCGCAGCCACTGGCGTGGCTTCCCCACCCGCCCCCCCCGCGCCCCCCCCCAGCCCGGGTCGGGTCCCCCACCCGAAGACGGTTCCATTAAAAACGGAGTGCGTCACGGGAAGGGGGGCGGCGTGACGCTGGCGAGAGGGAGAGTTGAGTCCGTCCCGGACTGTGTTTCCCTGGGGGTTCGGGGCTGGGGAAAGAGGAGGCACCAGGAAAGGGGTGGTAGTCAGAGGAAGGAGGGAGGGAGAATAAGGGGAAGAAAGGGAGAGGCAGCTGGCCGAGGGGGAGAGGGGGAGAAGCAGGCGCCTGGGTCTCAGGTTGGATTATTTGTCGGCCTTAAGTCCCAAATTGATGTCCATTAGCGGGACACGAAAGTGAGGAGCAGTTAATGCCGACTATGGATCGATCCACGTCATTACGGATTAAGGGCTGGAATCTATCACAGGGTGGTGGGGGAGTCAGATAGATGGAAAGAAAAGATAAGGCTAGGAAGAGACACTCACCTGGCCAGTACTTCCCCAGCCCCTCCCCCTAGGCTCAGGTGGGATTTTAAACTCGCCTCCCATCCCCCACCAAGAGTCTAGACCAGAGGCACAGGCCTGGGAGACCCGGAGGGAATCTGGAGGGGGCGCTGGAGGAGTGAGGAAGTTGCGGGGGGCGGGGGGGGGGGAAGCAGGGAACTCGAAGAGTGCAGGGCATCCCGGGACAGGCTAGAGTCCGTGTTTGAGGGTCGAGTGGGGGAGGGGGTTCTGGCCCTGGTGACCCCAGGCCTCAGCATCTTCTCTCTGCGTAACAGGTTCCTCCTTTGGGCCCAGTGGCCGGCGCGGCCGCCAGACCTACACCCGCTACCAGACCCTAGAGCTGGAGAAGGAGTTTCACTACAATCGCTACCTGACGCGGCGGCGGCGCATCGAGATCGCGCACGCCCTGTGCCTGACCGAGAGGCAGATCAAGATCTGGTTCCAGAACCGGCGCATGAAGTGGAAAAAGGAGAGCAAACTGCTCAGCGCGTCTCAGCTCAGTGCCGAGGAGGAGGAAGAAAAGCCAGCCGAGTGAAGGCGCCGGAAAGGGAGGGGGGACGCGAAGGGAGCGGCCTGTGGGGAGCCGAGGGCGTCGGAGAGCCCGGAGAAGGCTCTGCGGGCGGGGGGCCCGGGGGACCTGCTCTCTAGCACGCGACAGGCGGGGCCCAGCGCTCTCCTGGACGCCCCCACCCGCAGAGCTCTCCCTGGGTGCTGGGAGGCCTTGCCGCCTGAGCCCACCCAGCACCCGGAGCGCCCCCTCCATCCCTGCGGGACCGCTTCAGCCCCATCAGGCTCCCCTATGAGAACTGAGGACCGGATTCACTTGATGTTTCCTGGAAGCAGAGCAAAATGCTCTTGTCCGCGTCGCGTCTCATTTCGTCCATGTCCCCCGTGCACGGTTCAATGGTAGATTCGCAGTCCCCTCAGCAGGGGCCTCGAAGACTCCCTGACCCCAGACCTTTCTCCCACCCCCTCCCTAAAGCCACTGGAAGGAGCACATACTACCTAGAAGTAAGAAGAGGAGCCTCAGAAGAAAACAAAGTTCTATTTTATTAATTTTCTATGTGTCGTGTTTGTAGTCTTGTCTTAGCTCTGGACGTGAAATACTTCGGTAATAATATTAATATTATTAATAATGATGATGATGATAATAATAATAATAAAGATGTAAAAACTCGCCGCTCAGTCACCTCTGCTCCTCCCCTGCCACTCCCCCACCCCCAAGGCCACCCCAGCGTCCCAGTGCCAGAAACTGCGCAGCAAAGGCGGGAGCCCTGGTTGCCCTGGCCGGCCCGACGCGACTTGGAAGTTACAGTTGAGATAGAGGCTGGGGCGGTCCCGCCCAGGCTCCGGCGCTGCGCCTCGCCACTGCTGAGCTCCCAACAGCCTCTCCTGGTGCAGACTTGGGGGACAGAGAAGGGCCGTTTCCCTCTTATTCTCTAAGCTTTTCCTCGTTTGTCCATGGCACGAGGGACACCGCCGAGGCCCCGAGCCCGGAGCCCCTGCAGAGACAGCCAGGCGGGTGTCGCGCCTCAGCAGCGCCTTTCTGTCCTCACGCTGGCGAGGCCCGCAGCCTTTGGCCTGCCCACATGGCCTGATCTCTGCCGGCCTTGGCCCTCGGCTCGGGGCCTGTGGCTCCGGAGACTAAATCGGGGCCACCGGGTGTCTCTCCGCCCGGAGCTGAAGGCTCCAGACGCCCTTTCCTGCCTCGAGCAGGAGCTCAGCGACAAGTAGGGGAATTCGAAGCGGCCGGCAGGCACGGGGCGAAGGGCACGACTTTCCGCTGCTCCTTGGAGACCTGAGGGCAGGAGTCCAGGTGATGAGGCGTCTTGGTCCCATCCCCTCAACCAAAAAACGACCCATTCTCTCCCCACCCCCCACCCTCCCCCCAGGCGGCAAGCTGCGGACACTGTTTTCCTTTCTTCCTCCGCCGTCTCTCTCCCTTTTTTATTTTTAAAGAAAATAGCCGCCCGGCAGAAGGAGCCCAGCTGCGGCGGTCTCTGGCCGCCCAGCGTGCTCAGCAAGGCGCCGCTGGTCCTCGGAACCCCTTTCCAGGGAAGATGTGGGCCGCCGGGCAAATTCTGAAACTACCCAGACGTGTCAGCGAGGGGCCTCGAGTGGGGCCTCCCAATGCAATAGCGGGCATCTGGTGATGAGGGGAAACGGTCTTGCCTTGATCCCCAACTCTCAGAACCCCAAACCCCAGCCACCGGTTCTGTCGTTGCCACCGTCTCTCCCCTGCAACTAGGCCGCTTCGCCCCAGCCCCGCACCTCCTCTGGGGTCCCTGTCCTGCTTTGCCATTCTCCGGGCCTGGGCTAAGGAGGAGGAGAAAGTCAGGAAGAGGATCCCAAACTTCTAAGAGGCACAGAAGTGAAAGCTTCTCCGTGGAACCCTGGGCCCAGCCATACCAGCTGCGCCTGGACGCTATGCGTGGGCCACGGCAGCCCCGGCAGGAAGCAGGCCAGGCCGAGCTCACGGGGAAACGCGTTGCAGTAATTGTTTTTCACACACATCTTCCAGCCCTCCCCCCCATTTCCGCCCCCAACACGGAGACTTGCAAAGCCCAAGTGAGGGAAAAGCAACTCAATTTTTGATCATCTCATCCAGAGTGAAAATAATAGTAATGATAATAACACTAATAATAATAATAATAATAATAATGACAGGGAGAAGGGCACAGATAGTCTAACCCCACTCCCAAGAAAGTGAGTGAAGGCTCAAGTGGGTCCCTCCTCTAAAAGACTCAACTCTGCGGGTGAGCCCAGGCCGGGTTTCCTTCTCGCCCGGCGGTTGCAGGGAGCCAGCAGGGAGGCAGCCGTCTCCGCCATGGCAGTCTGCGGCCCGCGCTCCCGCCGATCGCCGGGAGGTGGCGCGCTCTGCTCAGAGGCCGCCGCCAACCTTCTCCCTGTTTCTCCCCCTTCTCCGTTTTTCCCCCTCTCTTGGAGGCTCGCATTGAATCGGCCCTAACGATTCTCGGATCGTCATTATTTGTAACCATAGAGCATGAATTACCTCTTGAGGTCATCAGCGAGAATTTACGACTGGTCAACAAAAGCACGTGATTCCCTAACGCCCCCCCATCCCCCTTCCAACCCCCCCCCATATTTGGCCGCATACATAGCAAAACGAAGTACAGTGCATCGCTATAATTCATTAATACATCATAAATCGTGAAGCACAGGGTTATAACGACCACGATCCACAAATCAAGCCCTCCAAAATCACCCAAATGAGCTCGTACTTTGTAAACTCCTTCTCGGGGCGTTATCCAAATGGCCCGGACTATCAGTTGCTAAATTATGGCAGTGGCAGCTCTCTGAGCGGCTCTTACAGGGATCCCGCTGCCATGCACACCGGCTCTTACGGCTACAATTACAATGGGATGGACCTCAGCGTCAACCGCTCCTCGGCCTCCTCCAGCCACTTTGGGGCGGTGGGCGAGAGCTCGCGCGCCTTCCCCGCGCCCGCCCAGGAGCCCCGCTTCAGGCAAGCGGCGTCGAGCTGCTCCCTGTCCTCGCCCGAGTCCCTGCCCTGCACCAACGGCGACAGCCACGGCGCCAAGCCCTCTGCTTCGTCCCCCTCCGACCAGGCGACCCCGGCCAGCTCCAGCGCCAATTTCACCGAAATAGACGAGGCCAGCGCGTCCTCGGAGCCTGAGGAAGCGGCGAGGCAGCTAAGCAGCCCGAGCCTAGCTCGGGCACAGCCAGAGCCCATGGCCACCTCCACAGCCGCGCCCGAGGGGCAGACTCCGCAGATATTCCCCTGGATGAGGAAGCTTCACATCAGCCATGGTAATTCTCGCTTTCGCTCCCTTTTTTTGTCTCCTCGGCTTTCCTTCTCTGCGTTTGGGGAGGGGGTGGGCGGGAGGGAGGCGAGGAGAGCTTGGCTTCTCCTCAAATATAGATTTATTTTTTTTTTCCAGAGGTGGAGAAGTCTCTAAGAGGGTCCTCCCAGCTCGGGGGGATAGAGCCAAAGAAGGTCTAGGTCTTTAGCTGGGGAGGAGTATTTTTAATCATTTGTCTCCAGCTTCGGCTAAGGTTTTATTCGCCCAGCTGTACTAGCTATGGGATAAAGGATGGGGTTTATGTAACGTGGGGAAGGGTCCTGCTTACCCCCGAAATTTTGAGGCTGCTGCTAGCAAAGAAGGGGCGAGCAGTAATGGGAGCTTTCCAGGGCCAAAGTGCAGCCGTTCTCCTCCCTCCCGGGGCGAGCGGCCGCCTGAGCCCAGCGAAGGGTGAGGCACAGGGAGGGAGCAAGAGACAAAGCCGGGCGCATTCGCAGCCGGCACAAGTGGGGGCTGCAGGAGAAGGGGGTGTAGGAGCGAGCTCGGATGCGGGCGTCTGGAGTGGGGAGGCTTGGAGCTGCGGTGAGCTGGGTGCCGGGGACGCCTGGGTCCTGCTCCACGCCCCTCTCCCATCCAGGGCCCCCTCCCTTAACCGGACTAACGTTGGTTGCCTCGCGGCTCTACTCTGTCTGCTCCAGATATGACCGGGCCGGACGGGAAACGGGCCCGGACCGCGTACACCCGCTACCAGACCCTAGAGCTGGAGAAGGAGTTCCACTTCAACCGCTACCTGACGCGGCGGCGGCGCATCGAGATCGCCCACGCGCTCTGCCTGTCCGAGCGCCAGATCAAGATCTGGTTCCAGAACCGGCGCATGAAGTGGAAGAAAGACAACAAACTGAAAAGTATGAGCCTGGCTACAGCCGGCAGCGCCTTCCAGCCCTGAGCCCGCCTGGAGGAGCCCTGGGTGGCCCAAGAGCCCTTGCCGCCCCCCAGCCCTGGCCCCTCCAAGCCTCCCTGCGCTGCCACTGCCCGCTGGGGACCGGTTCCCATGAGCCTGCCTCGCCCCGGCCTTGTGTTACGATTTTTCGTTTGGTCTTAGGTCTTCCTGTGGCTCCCTCTCTCCTGGACTGGTTAATCTTGTTATTATTGTTAATAATAATAATTATTATTATTATTTTCCCTCCCTGCTCCCCACGCCCCTCCACTCACCCCAAATCCGCCAGTGTTTCTGAATGTTCGTGTCTGTGGTTGCACTCCTTCCCCCAGGAAAGAAAGAAACTCGCATGTTTAACGTGAACTTTCCCCTCCCCATCTGTGTTCTTCTAACTTATTTATAAAGGATGGTCGCTGTATTTTGAGTTTCAGCTTGAAACTTCTCTAAGGGGCAGCTGTTGAGGTGGGGTAGTGCCGCAGTGTGGGGCCCAGCTGAGCTGGCCTCGGAGATGGAGTCCATGACTGTCTCTTTCCACCCTCCTCCTCCTCCTCCCTTCCCACTCCCCAGGCCCAAGTCTCCCAGTGGCTTGGTCCGGGGGTGGGAAGGGGGCGTGGAGGACCAAAGGGGTGATCTTGAGAAGAGGGAAGGTAAACCGTGAGAGTTCAGTTCCTGCCGCCTGGGTAGGCCCCACAAGGCCTGGCCTGGGAGTGGACGGAAACAAAAATAATCCTCAGTGTAAAATGTCTTGTGTATTTCTCTGTGAATCCATGGGTCTGGAGTAGAGGGCCCAAAGCTTGTAAATATGGGGACAGTCTGGGTCAGACCCATCCCCCCCCCATTTCGCTTCCAAGACCATTTGTAGTGAGCGAGTGGATGCTGTGCTACGTGTGGAATCTGTCTTTGCCTTTGCCGGGCCTGTCTCAGTGATTCGCTTTTGGTATTTGTTTGTAGCTTTCCTTGAAGTCAAATAAATGTTTCCCCCACTGCACTGCCCTTCCACTTGTCTTTTCTCTGGGGGCCTGTCTCTCCCATCACTGGGCACACCCTAGACCACTCTTGACAGATCTGGGGTGTAGGGAAGGGAAAGCAGGATGCTCACCAGCAGCCCCTCTCAGCCACCTACACCCCTCGCTTGGTCAGCCGGTACTTGGGCCAGGGGATTGGCCTTCAAGTCTGGGGGACTGAGAGGCCCAGAAATGCCATGTGGGGCTTGGGGCAAGGGAAAGGGTGAGCTGGATTCCACCCTGGCCTTCCACCAGCCAGCAAGAAAAGCCTCTGGAAACCTCTTCAGGGAAAGTAATGTGGGCCTAAGTCCTGAGCAGGAAGCTCCTGGCCTTTTGGGAGTGGTACTGGCCTGCCCAGCCCCCCTGTCCCCTGGCCCAAATCCCAATTCAGCTCCGCCACCCACTAAGACCAAAAAAAAAAAAAAAAAAAAAAAAAAAATCAGCTCAATTTCAAAGGTTTCCTCTCAACTTCAGTCTTCTCTGTACTTAGCGAGGGTTCCCTCTCTCCAGGGGCCCAACTGACCTTCCCTCTTGGTTAGGAGTTGGGGTCCCTCTTGGAACACCCCTGTTTCCCCTGCCAGCCCGAGTGTTCCAGGGTTAGGGCCCAGTCCTCCTCCATCCAAGTCCGCCTTCACCCTGAGTGCAAGAGTCAAGTCTGGACACTTACCCGGTCAATCCCTTCCAGCTTGGCCCAACTTCTTACAGGACTTGGGGGGAGGGGGAGCTGGTGAGGAGGCAGCCAAGGGTCGTAGAGGCTCTACTGGGCCCTCCTTCCCCCTCACCCCTTGACTTTGTCCCCCTTTGTCCATAGCAAACTACCCCAAAAGTCGCTATGACATTTAGATGTCAAATGGATAGGGGTTTTATCTCGAAGTTAGATCGTAAAAATCGCCGAGAAGTCAGACAGATACCCCTCACTGGCTCGAGAAAGTCACGTGAGGTCCATAAAGTTAGTTTTATGGTTTTGGGGAGTTGACACCGCGCGGTATATTTCACATTCTCCAGAATGTTAAGTGACACTTTAACTGCTCGCCGTGGTGGGGAAGGGGGCAGAGGTAGGTGAGCGCTCTCCCAGCCCAGAAGGCAGTGGCAGCACTCCCGCGGTAAGTGGCTTCCAGCTTTCGCTTTCTCCCCCTGCAATTTTGGGGCTTGGAACCCCGGGCAGGAAATCTTGCCTCCGGCAGGGCTGTAGCATAGCAAGTGGGGGACATTTCGTCTGCTTTTTGCACCAAGTTCTGACAGGCTGGGCAACTGACGTGGGGGCTCTCATTTCTGTAAGGCCAGCGGTAGGGGTGCCTGGTTTTTAAGCACAGGAGTGTCTGACTCTTTGTGGGGGGAAAGGGGCTTGTGTGGGTTCCTTCAGTGTCCTTGGAAATTTAGGGGGCGAGAGGGAAGGGTGTGTACTCCTGAAAGAAGGGCCCCTTGTGGGGGGGCCACTTCACTGCTGGATATCTTCAGACAGACATCTCCCCACCCCCAGGAAAGAAACTTTATGACATTCATTTGTCAGGGGTGTGTGTGGGCGCGCCGCTGGGCACTTTTATCTGGATACATCTGAGCTGAGAAAAAGCACCGGGAAGGCTAATGCGGCTGCTGTGGGCCGCCTTGCACTGGGGCTCTCTCTGGCTTTCAGATTTTTGAACCCTGTGAAAGGGGGTGCCTCCCATTTCTCCACGGCCTCATCGGGGTTACCCAGGATGGGGCGTGCGGGGCTTTTGCACCCAGCTTCCGCCTGTTAATTCCAAGCCAGCCCCTTCCGCTTGGCTCTGAGGAGGGTCAGAGGGGCACAATCCCCTCAAATTCCAAACCTAATTCCTGGCCAGGAGTGGGGGGAAGGGGGAGCCTTTTTCCCTTGCCTGGAGGAGTTAGGTGTTTCAGCAGATCCCTGGCAGGCCCTCCATAAATAAAACTTGCTCAAGAACACAGACCCCAACTGTCCGGAGGGAAAAAAGGGACTCAGGAGCAGGAGAGAAAAATCAGAAAGGTTCTCTCTTTCCTCTCCTCTCCCTCCCTCTTCTTCTCTCCCTACCAGACCCTTAAAAGCCCCTTTGTTTTGTGGCACCGCAAACCCAGAGGGATTTCATCATCTGACCCCCAGGGGGCCTGTTATTTTCTAAGGGTAAATCACCCTCTTCTAAACTAGAGGCCTCTTCTCCACCAAACTGACCCCCGATTTTAAGACCCATGGGGTCTACCACCCTGTCACTCCTGTTTTTGCTAGCCCTCCCGTCTCTTGATTCGGCTTACCAACTCCTGTGAATAGTCCCTAGAATTGGACATATGGCACCTTAAGGGGCTTCTGATCTTTGGGACAAGGGAATGGCCATGAGATTCCCCCCATTTCCCTTTGAAGGACATCTGCACTCTCTGCCTCTCTCCCCTCTTCCCTGTAGCCATTCTCTATTCCCTGAGCTCTCCAGTCCCTGCCCAGGCCTGACTTACAGGAGAACCTTCACGGGTTTGAGAGCAAAGAGGACAGAGAACTTGGGGTCCTCACCCTGATTTGAAGACAAATCCCCCCAAGAATGATGAGGCATTTGTATTCCTTGGAAAGGAGACTCTGGTCAGCTCCCAGAGGGTCCCCAGCATCATTTAAGATACCAATACATTCTGGAGGCACAGCCTCCACAGGCTTCCACTCTGGACAAGGCAAATGAGTTGAGTAAGGTGCAGAGGAAGGGTGCAGCAGGGGCAGAATCTGACCTGGGGCCTCCTGGGAACCCCCATTCCCACGGGCCTGGCCTCCCTCCAATGCCGAGCCCTCTCGCAGAAACCCCAGACCACCAGGCCTGCCCCTGAAGACTTTTTTTGTCCCCTTCTATGTCAGCTCTGCAAACTCTGATAGCGACCCAGGGACATCTGCTGGGCATATCTAGACAGATTTTCCGGAATGGTGAAGAGCAGCCCCGGGCGGGGGAGGGTGCCCACTTCCGCCCCGGAGGTTAAAACCCTTGAAGGGTCTCCTGCTCTAAGCGGTTCCGGGAAAAGACTCCCTAGCTGGTTTTCCTCTTCCCTGCTTCAGGTTCTCTGGGTAATGGTCTCCCTTGAAACCCAATAAGGATGTGTGTGTTGCGGGGGGAGAGGTAAGAAGGGGTTTCTGGTGCAGAGGAACTCTTACTCCGCCACAGACCCGTGCCCTCCCCTCCTGCCTTCCCCAAGAGATTCTCTGGGAAAACCGCTCCTCAATCTGGAGGACTCTTTTCTCCCTCCTCGCCCACCCGCTTCTCCCTCCTCTTCTGGGTCCAGGCCTCAACCTTCTGAGCTCCAGGCTAGCACCCTGCAGCCAAATGCTGCCGCCCAGCCACCCAGCCACCCAGCACCCTCCACCTGGGCAGGCCTGAGGAGGCAGCCGGGCATTAAGGCCCCAGTTGCCTTTTTCCCTCCAAAGCCTGCCTGACACCTCTCAGCGGACAATTTGATTTTGGATTTTTTTTGTTTGATTTGGTTATTTTGTTTTGTTTTGTTTTGTTTCTCTGCGTGCGGGGTGGGAGGAAGTATAAAGAAGTGTAAACAGGAAAGCCAGCCGGCCCTGGAGTTCCGAGAGCCCATATTTCATCGGCTTCCTCTCCATAACTGCAGCGGGGACACTTAACCCTTCCCTGGCTGTGAGAACGTGTTCACTGGGGAGAGGGGGGGAGGCAGGGGGTGGGGGCAAGATCCAAGTGGGAGCTCCTCTCCTGGCCTGGTTCCTTCATCCCTGGATGCTGGGGCAGAAGCCAAGGATTTGGAACAAGAGAGAAGACAGACCACTTAGAACGATCTCCCAAACTCAGTCCCTTCCAGGGTAGAGAGGAAGAAGCTCCCCTGCATGGGCTTCTCAGCTTGGGGACCAATTGGATCAACCAAGGAGGACAGAGCTGGGAAGAAACCCTCCCATCTTTTAGGGTCACTCTCTCCATTTTTGGAGTTTCTAGAAGTAATCAGATTTCGAGGCTGGGATCTGCCCACAGCAGGATTTATCGATTGCTGCCGTGCTGTTACACATCCGTATTAATTAACCCAGACACCGGCCTGGAAACTGAGCCGCTTGGGGAGGAGGAGGGAAGAAATGGGGGCCCCTTAAGGAAAATGGACATTTCTCCCTAAGTGCCCCTGGGGCCCAGATCGGAGAGTCCTTCCCCACCAGAATCGTGTGGCCTTCCCCAGGCTTGAGGTCCCTGCACTTCTCAGCAGGGGCAAGTGTGTCTCACTCCCCACAGTCAGAGTCCACACACAAATCTTCTCAGTGGTGGACTTAAACACCTCTCAGGCCTGACTCTTCCTTGTCAGACGTAGGCTGTCCTCAGATGGATGGATCTTTTGGTGGAAGTTCCCAGGACGTCCTTTCTAGAGGGCTTCAGGACTCCTCCCCACCTTCCTTCCAACTTCCCCAAGGTAGAAGCTTTTTATGGCCTGGGGGCTTGTTTTGTTTTTCGTGCTTGGTGGTGGTAGCGATGGCCTCCCCCTTCCTCTCCCCCCTCCCTCCAAAAAGTGATTAAAATCTGTTAAAGGATTTAATTAAGACAGTTAAATGAAAAGGAAGGAGGTGCAAATGAGTTGGGGGAAAAAACCCACACCAAAGCTATTCTCAACGATTAAATCGCCATTTTAACCATATAATGGAGTTTGCATCCTGAAAGGGGAAATCAACGCTCATATCTCATCAATAATTCATAGAGTCCGGGATCACGCAGAGGTCAGCAGACGGGGCCGGAGCGCTCGGGGCTCCGCGCCGCTGCCGCATACATTACGCGCCTCGGGCCGCGATGCCGTCACCTCCGCCGCTCGGGCTCGGACCGGGGCCCCGGCATGCCGACAGGTTTAGGCCGATTTTTCGATTTTTCGTTCTTCCTTTTGGTGAATTTACTGAGACCCAGATTGGCGGGCTCCCGGGGGGAAGTTTCGGAGATTTAGGAGACTTGGAGAGATTGGACTTCGGGCAATTCGGGACCTCTCGGACCGGAATATCACCCCCTTTCCAAGTTTTAATCTCTCCCCCACTTTTTTTCTTCTTCTTTTCTCTGTTTAAGGCGTCTTCTGTCCTGTCTCTTCTCTTCCCAAATTTCCTCTCCGAGAGGAAAATGCACTCTCTGCAGCATCCTCTAGCCTCTCTTCCCTGGAAACGGCTCCCAGGCTGCCCGGCCGCTCTCTGGCCTTGCTCTCCGTGTGGATTCGGGCTGAGCCCACATAGCTTCGCCCCGGTTGCAGCCTCTGAGTACCGAGGCTGCCTTTGATTGTTGCGATCCCTGACCTCAGAGCCCCGTTGGGTAGGGATGAATGCATCTAGGGAGGAAAGGGACCTGGCAGGCCCCAGTGCAGCTTGCTTAGTCAAGAGATGACCCAGGCCAGGTGGGAAGGGGAGGATTCAGCTTGGAAGGCAGCATCTGGGGGAAAAGTGGAGGGAAAGTGCCAGCATGTGGGAACGTCTCCCCTTGGGGCTTGAAGGCGAGATGCAGGATAAGCCCTATATTTTGGAGCTTCTGCAGGCTTGTTCCATTCTCTCTGTGTGTCTCTCTCTAATTCGCTCTCTTCTGCTTTCCGACCCCTAAGAGGCCCCTAGGGAAGGGGGAACGAACCCTTCCCTGTGAGAAGTGGGGTCCTGGGAGGGGATATTTGGGCGCAAGGGAAACCGAAAGAGCGCGGGTCGCTCGTGCGGCCGCCGCGCCGGCCGAGAGGCAGAGGCTGTAACGTCCCCGAGCTGCCAGTAGAGTCCGCCTTAGACCAAGTTCACAGCCAGGCTGGGGCCTCGGAGGCGCCAGCGAGCGGCCCTGCAAGGTGGCCCCGGGCCCGCTGGGTCTCGCATGGCCTGGACACTGAGCTCTCTCTTTCCAGCCCTTTGGGGACTGTGGCCCCCTCCGCTCTCAAGGAACCCTTGCTCCAAGCTCTCTCCACTCTTCACCCCAGAAACTCCCTTCTCCAGGTCAGCCGACGCGTCCTACTGCACCCCGTATGTCCCCACGCCCAGCAACCGCGGCCCCGTTCCGGGACAAGAATGGAGCGGGTGGGTCATCAAAAGCTTTTCCAGGCACTCCACAGGAGAGACCCGTGGAAATGCAGGAAGTGGGGTCGATGCGGGAAGTGGGGTGGCGTCTTTTCCCAAGGCGTTATTTAATAATCAAAAGGCTCCTCTTCCCCAGATCTAAGGCCCTTAGTGGGGGTTTGGGGAGGGTGGCGAGGGGGGAGGGGCACGGAAGGCGTTTTGCGCTTGGGTTTCGGCAGCCGGCGCAGCAGAATGAGACCCTGGGCCGTGAGGCCAGTGTTATTGCCAGAGGGGTCGCAAAGTTGGAGGGTCAAAAGTTTACAGCGTGCGGGAGCGGGCGGCGGCGTCTAGCGGTGGGGGCGGTCTGGGCAAGGGGAGGAGGCTGTGTGAGCAGAGAGAAGAGAGGGAGCAAAGGGTGCGGGAGGTAAGGAAGACCTATGTGTTTGGGGAGTGGGGGAGCAGAACTGGGGAGGAGGAGAGGCAGCTATCTGGGGCAGGAGAAACTGGGGTGGGGGAGAAACCCTTCTCCAAAAGCCGCTGGGCTGGTGGGGTGGGGAGCTGCACAAGAGCGCTGGGGGCATGGCGAATCCTCTGCGCAATTTTCTCTCCCAAAGATAACCTTTGAGTCACCATATAAAATTTAATTAAAACCTACCCAGCCGCACACATTAAAAAAATCCAATTACCCACGCGTCCTTGCAGGACGTTTGATGGGGCCAAAGAAGGCTTCCAAGGTGAAGGCCTGATTCTCACCAACATCAGACCCACCCTCCTTCCCCCAAAGGGTCCAAAGAGCCTGACTCCCCCAACTCCCCCTATCCCTCAGGCAGGCCTATTCTTCAGGGATTCCTAACCCCCAGGCTGGGTCCAGGCAGCTGGAGTCCATGACAGTGGGCCAGGACTGGAGGGTTTCTAAACTCCCATTCCTCTTTCCAAATTGCTTGGGTTTAAGAAGTTGGATATTGAAAGGAGGTTGGCTAGCTAATTCTCGCACTCTCTCCCAAACCTCCACTTGTAGGTTCATCCAGAATCCCTCTCTTCCTATTTGGAGGAGGGAGGGGAAATGAGAAGGAAAAATACTGAATGGCCTCACAGAGATCTTTTTAACTGGAGTTAAAACAAGCGACCTGAAATGAACCTTGAATGTATGCATTAGGCTTAGCTCATAAGTAAAATGTTTACAGAGACTCTGTAATTATAACACCAGGGTATATGCCTATTTTTGGTCTTTAAATGACTGTCGTGTTATGAAATGTGATCACATTCTCTTCCAAGCATTGGATATAGGAGGTGCGCTGTGGGTGTTTGTCCTGCCAGAATAGAGATAACCTGAGAGTTTTCATAAAGACGCCTTTTGAATTATGGCCAGAAGAGACAACAACGTAATGTCAAATTGCAAATCAATTTGCCCCAGTTTTTGACTAAACCAACTGGGTGTGGGTCCCCATTTCTCTTCAGCCTTGAGACAAGTTGCTCTGGGGAGTCAAGCCAGGAAGGAATGCCTGAGGTCCAGAAGAGGTAGAGGTCAAAGGCTGAACTGGAGACTCTGTTTCCTTCTGTTCCTCCTCTGTCTCTTTTTCCTCCTTTTCCAGGACAGAATGCTAGCGAATTTATGGTTCTGTGGAATAGCCTGGAGCAGCCAAAGGCCCTGGGCTGGAGGGGCCTCAGGATGGGGAAAGAGGGTCCTCTGCCATCCTCGGCCAAACTGGGTGCCTTGGGATAGTCTCTCTCACCTCCTTGTGCTAGAGGGACCTCTCCCTGCAGACACTCCCCCTAGACTTAAACTGGGTGGTAGGGGAGTCACCTGACTAACCTCTGCTGGTCCCTTGGAGGCTAGAGAAAGGGGAAAATGTCTTGTTGACAGTCCAAGAATTCTAATCCTTGAGAGACAAACCAGAGAAAATCTCTGAGTATTTTTAATGTCTCCTTGCTTTGCTCCTGTACGTCCTTGTGGTGGTGATAGGGGTAGGCAAAAGTGCTACTGTATAGATGAGAAGTGGTTTTAAACAAAAATTGGGGGGAGGGTGTATTGTTTTGTGTTTAAAGGGAAATTAAAGCCTCTGAAAACCAAGTCCTCCTGCTTTGACCAGTACGGTCCAGCTCCTCTCTCAGGATTCTCTCTGTCTTCCCCAGATATGCTGGCCTAGGGACCAAATCTCAGCCCCAGGAAGTGGAGGAGTCATTCCTGGGGCCCTGGAACCTCCAAAGTTTGAGCAGAAATGGGATATCTCTGGCACTGGGGGAGGGAATAAGGCAGAGGGAGTATGCAAGGGGGCAGGGATACAGGCCCTGCCAATGCAGCCATTTAATAGGGCAGGCAGGAGGGAAGGGGGCTCTGGCTCAGGCCTGCTCTCTGGGACCCCGAGTCCCAAGGCCACATTTCCACTTCTCCAGGTGCCACCTCCCTCCCAGGCCCCAAAGGGAACCCCTATGGAATCCTACCCTCTCCTACCTTGCCCAAGGAACCAAAACAGATGAGAAAATAGGAATGATGGAATATCAAGGCAGAGGTGGGGTAGGCTGAGTACTACCAGCCTGGGACTTTTTTGGGGGGTGGGGGTTGGGTGAAGGGAAGAGAAGGTTCTGGCAAAAAGTCGAGCTGAAGAGGATGAGCTGAATCAAATTCCTGCTCCGTCATTTTTCTCCCAAGTAATGACCTGCGCAAAATTCAATATGACCGAGCGAACTGTGCGAGTGTATTATAGTAACTGTCTGCTCGTGGGGGAGGCCCGGAGAGGGGTGAACCGTAGGTCACGGCGTCTAAAAATTATTAAAATGTTCGAGAGCCTCGTGACGCGCCTAGCTGTTTAACAAAGACTGCCAAAGTATGAGATTAATACGAAAACTTGCGCTTCAAAAACAAAAACACATCAAAAAAAAGTCTTGTTCCGGCCTGCAAGGGGGCCCGTAGCGGCGGTTCGGTTTTCCGGACACACAATAGTGGACGAGAGCGAGCTCATCTGGGGCCGAGCGGGCCCGCGGGCGGGTCTGCGGCCGGAGGGCGCGGGGAGCCGCCCGGTGAGTACTCTTGCCCGCTCCCCCTCTGGGCCTTCCACTCCTCCGTGCGGCCTCCGGTGCGCCGGCCGGCTGGGGGCTCGCCTCCTCGGCCCTGCGCTTTCCCTCCCTTGCTCTGTGCTCTCTCCCTGGCGACAAAAGGTAGATGATTCCGTGCGGGCTGGGCGCGCTCGGGACAGCCGAGGGGGCTGAGCAGCCAGAGGTCACTTTAGCAACCTGTGGCTGCCAGGGGAAGGCGGCCGGCGAGCCGGCGAGCGAACGACCCGGGAGCGCAGGGGAGGTGGCTCGGGACGCGCGCGCAGAGCCCTTGCCTTTTCTTATTTTTATTACGAGTACTCGTGTTCGTATTCTTTTGGGGTCGGAGGGGAGAGGCAGCCTCCGGTGTTGGTGAAATCGTCTGGGGAGTCGCTGATACACCTTGTCCCCCACCCATCGCGGCTGCACTCGGCTGGGGTGGGGGGCTGCGGCGCCTCGGTGGGGTGGGCAGGTGGCGGCTCCCAGCGCGCCGCAGAGAAAATCTCCGCGCTCTGTCCCCAGGAGCAGCCATACCCAGCCCCGCAGTGGCTCTGCCTCCCATACCTCTCTCTTGGGGTGCTCCGAGCACCTGGGCTGCATCCTTTGTGAAGTGTAGAGCAGCAGAGAGGCCCGGTGGCCAGCCTAGCGGCCCTCCCAAAATTCCGAAAAGCCGGCTGAGTTGGATGGGTTTCAGAGAGCGAGTTGAGAAGGACAGGAGGTATGGGGTGGGGGAGGGGCCTGGCCAGTGGGAATGGGTCGTGGAACCCTGACGAAGTGGCCTTTGACAAGACTTGGAAAGATCCCTGCTTGACTCTGGGGGGCTGGGGGGGGGGCGGTTCTACCCAGGCATTTTGTCTGTGGGCCCAGGGCCAGACCCTAGTCTCCTTAGGTGCCCAGATGGGGGTCTACTGGACCCTCTCTTGGCAAAGGTAATTAAAATATAAGTGTGTGTGTGTGTGTGTGTGTGTGTGATTTTTCAAATATATGCAAGTCAGCCTGGCTGGGAGAGTGTTGGTGTTAGAAATCAGACCCGAGGCCAAAATTGGCAATCTAGATTTGGGATAGAAAAATCAAAAGGTCTCTGGACCTAGTTTCTGGCAAGTGGGAGGGAGCACTCCTCCTACCCACCTGCAAGAGTCCCAGGACTGGGGAGGGGGAGAGACTTCTGCAATGTGCTGGTTAGAAGGTTGTTTTTTGTGTTGTTGCTGTATTTGTTAATGAAATGGATATCGTTCTGACTCCATCACTAAGGATGCGAGTATTTCTCAGGGAGATGCGTAGGGAGTCTGGGCAAGGTAGAGGCTTTCTCTGTGCCAATTCCCCTCACCCTGTGATGGTCTCAGCATTCAGTCTAGGACTCAGTTCCCTCCAGCCCAATCCCAGGCTCCCAGTTTAGTAAATTCAGTGGTTACCGGGACCCTTGGGAAGTTCATTTGTAAACCCCAGATTCCCCCAGGTTTACCAGATCCCCATTTTGGTCCCACTGCCAGAGACCCTAGCAGGTGGCGGAATGAGCAAATTTAGACAGAGAGAGCCTGCCTGGGGCTGGGGAGGTGGGGGAAATGGGGTTCCTCCACACACTTCAGGGATTATCCCCGTTTTCTGGCCCTAGGAGGTGCGGGAGGCTGGGAGGGGCTGGAATATCATCTGGCTGCATCTTTTATGGCTCCTCATTGCCCTTCATTCGGAAATGAAACGCCTTTGATCTTTTTCTCAGGTTGTAAACGGAATTGCCCGTCATTAAATATCCGGGGCCCCATCTGTTTGGTCTCCCAGCATTTTTCTTTACAGCTGTTTCTCTCTCTTTTTACCATTGAATTTTTCCAAAAGGACTTTTATGACACCTCCTTCACACCCAGCCACCTCTCCCTCCTCCCTTCACCAAGAGGCGCCTTGGAAAATATCTAGATATTCGTTTGATGGCAAACTAAAGGCTACGAGGGGCACGGAGGAGCCGATTGGGGTTTTGTTTTTCTTAAAAAAAAAAAAAAAGTCCTGGGGGGAGGGGAGGGACGCGAGGGCACCCAGAAGGGCCTGATTCTGACTTCGCTGCAGCCTCGGGATGACCCTTCCTCCTTTTGTGCTTAGCTAATGTTTACATCTCATAATTCATGCGCCGCCCAGGGTTGTGCGGCAGCCCCGAGGTTCGCGTCCCTTTGCGGGACCGGCTGCTTCTATTTCTCTGATAGAAGAGAAAGAGAGTTGAAAACCTTGTAATCCCCAAAATGGACCCGCAGTGTCTTCCTGCTCCCAGAGCTCAAACGTAGAACAAAACGAAATAAAATCAAAGCACTGAAACCACACCCCAAACGAAGAAGGCGCGGAAAGTAGGAGAACTGGAAAATTTCTGGGCCAAGAAGATCTGTCTGTCTTCTGTATATACCCTGTAGATCCGAATTTGTGTAAGGAATTTTGTGGTCACAAATTCGTATCTAGGGGAATATGTAGTTGACATAAACACTCCGCTCATTTTTTTCCCGAAGAAATTTTTTTTTCCCAAAAAGAGGACCATCCGGTGACTGACCACACGAAGACGCCTTCCTTTTTTTTTTTTTTTTTTTTTCCTTCCTCTTTCCTTTCCTCCCTCATTGGTTAGAGATGGAGGAATCATCTACCTGAAATATCCCATGCCTAGGCGCCCCTGGAAGGCTTGGTCCCTTTTCACTTCTCTTAATAGGTTCATATAGGTGGTGGTGTTTTATCCACTCCCCCAAGCCCACTTATTCTCTATTCTGGGATCAGGGAGGCTTTACTGAAAATCCGGGAAAAAATGACTATTGTTGTCAGTGTGCGAAGGCAAAGAAAATCGCTTTTCAAACGGATGTTGAGGTTGCCTTTTCATTTGGGATCAGAACAAGATGCCCTGGAAATATGCAATTACTAAGGGGTGTTATTGTGTGTGGGGGTCACCCCTAGGGCTCCTACCCCCAGCATCATAAGGATGTGAGATTTCTGTTCACTGCAGACGCAGCTGCATGAGCGGCAATTAGAACGGCTGGATACCGTGGTTAGCATTGCTCGGGTGGTTCTGGAATTAGCAAATGGCTATTCAGTGCGCTCTCAAAAGTTGCAAGATTTTTACTCCAGCACTCATGTTCCGTGTGGGGAACCAAGCCGTTTCTCGGCGTGGGCCGTGTGGGGTAAGGGGAGGACTGGATATGAGAGGGGAACGGAAGGACTGACTGACACAGCCAAACTAATAGCGCAGCTAAATGCGATTTGGAAGGCGAGGTCTCCCCGAATTAGTGCATGAATTTCCTATCGATCCGCCCGCGGTTCCATTCATCTCTGACAAGTCCCTCCTGCACCCGCCTGCTTGCTCCCGACGCCTCCTCTCTTCACTCCCTACCCCTCCCCAGGCGACTGCAGAGAAAAGCCCGGTGCTCAGTGCCCTCTCGCCCCCATGTGGGTTCCTCTCTCTAGGCGGAGCCCCCAGTCTGCCCCTCAACTTAACTCCCCACACAGCCTCCTGGGCTCCTTCCCGTCGTGAGGAGGGGATGGGGGGCCTATGGAAGGCAGAGAATGCGGGGCGGTGAGGCCGGACAGGAGGGGGCTGCCCCGAGAGCCCCAACTTCGAGGGGATCCCGGGATGATTGTTCTCTGCCCAGCGCCCCAACAGGCCCTCCGGCGGCAACCTGCCCTCTTCCTCTCTTTCTCTCCCCCTTTCTCTCTCACTCTCTTTCTCTGATCCCGGAGAGAGCTAGGCGAGGAGGCGGTCGCCCTGCAGGAGCCCTATGTAAATCCTGGCGTTGGGTGGGTGGGGAGGGGGAAAAGAGAAGAAGGGGAAATAAACCTCTTTGGCTGGAGTAGGGTCCGGGTGAGCAGATTTCCTTATCCGGGAATCGCAGGCGGGGCGGCCATTGGCTCCGAGGATCACGTGGGCCCCTAACTTTGTTCACTTGACAGTAAGTAGGAGGGCTTTCGGAAACAGGAAAACGAGTCAGGGGTCGGAATAAATTTTAGTATATTTTGTGGGCAATTCCCAGAAATTAATGGCTATGAGTTCTTTTTTGATCAACTCAAACTATGTCGACCCCAAGTTCCCTCCGTGCGAGGAATATTCACAGAGCGATTACCTACCCAGCGACCACTCGCCGGGGTACTACGCCGGCGGCCAGAGGCGAGAGAGCAGCTTCCAGCCGGAGGCGGGCTTCGGGCGGCGCGCGGCGTGCACCGTGCAGCGCTACGCGGCCTGCCGGGACCCCGGGCCCCCGCCGCCTCCGCCACCACCCCCGCCGCCCCCGCCACCGCCCGGGCTGTCCCCTCGGGCTCCTGCGCCGCCGCCCTCCGGGGCCCTCCTCCCGGAGCCCGGCCAGCGCTGCGAGGCGGTCAGCAGCAGCCCCCCGCCGCCTCCCTGCGCCCAGAACCCCCTGCACCCCAGCCCGTCCCACTCCGCGTGCAAAGAGCCCGTCGTCTACCCCTGGATGCGCAAAGTTCACGTGAGCACGGGTGAGTGCGTGGGCACCCCTTCCCCCTCCCACCCCCGGTGCTTTACACCGAAGGGACCTCGGAGGCATGGGGCGGGGGGGGGGGTGAGGGAAGCCAATTGTCCCCGCTATAAACTCGCCATTGCCGGAGATTTACGGTCGCCTGTTTTCAGAGCCACATAATTACATCCCCCATAAATTTTTATGGCCTGGTGGGCCCCGCGCCTTTGAAGTCGGTTCCCCCATCCTCTTTGCCATTCTCACCAGCGACTTTTTCGCCTGGGAGATGCAGTCTCAGTGAAGTTGCAAGTTGGGGAGGGGTGTGTGGGGTGGGGGAGGAGAAGGAGGAGGAGGTAATCTGTATTTGAAGGGAGAGTTGAGTCAACTCCCAGTATTTATTTTTTCCTTTCTTTCCTCTAGTCTGGCTCCTTGGCTTCAGAAGTGGGCAAAAGTTTTTACTGGGGGCAGGCGCTACATGGAATCTGAGCACAGAGGGTGGGAACTAGCAGAAGAAAGGTTTAGGGAAGCCCCCCTCCCTCTTTCACCCCTCATTCTCCCATCCCGGGCCCCAGGCCAAGGGGGCAGAGAGGAGCGGTTAAAACCTTGTGAAGATTCCTTACGCCCCCCACCCCCTCTCCAGACACCCAAACAACAACGTGGAGACAACACAACCCTCCAAAACTTTGAGGTCTCTATCTCTTCCCGGGGGCCGCTTTCTTCGCTTGGCGTCCCCACCCCCCTCTGGAGGAAGAAGAGGTGGCGGGAGAGGGAGGGAGGGAGACACTGTGCTAGCTGGAAGAAAGAGCTCTCCCTCCTCCCTTTCGGGGCAATAAAACTTTCTCTTTCTCCCTCTCTCTGTGTGTGTCCAGTAAACCCCAATTACGCCGGCGGGGAGCCCAAGCGCTCTCGGACAGCCTACACTCGCCAGCAGGTCTTGGAGCTGGAGAAGGAATTTCACTACAACCGCTACCTGACGCGGCGCCGGAGGGTGGAGATCGCCCACGCGCTCTGCCTGTCCGAGCGCCAGATCAAGATCTGGTTCCAGAACCGGCGCATGAAGTGGAAAAAAGACCACAAGTTGCCCAACACCAAGATCCGCTCGGGTGGCACCGCAGGCGCAGCTGGAGGGCCCCCTGGCCGGCCCAACGGAGGCCCCCCCGCGCTCTAGTGCCCCCCCCCGCACGGGAGCCGCGAACCTCGGGGCGGGGGTGGGTTGTGAGCGCGGGGGTGGGGGCGGGCGGGGGGAGATGCGGGAGGGGACCCTGGGGCCTGGGTCCGCAAAAGCCTACCTGCCCTCCCCTCACTTTATCTATTTACACGAATAAACGCAGAGGAGGGGGAGGGGAAGCTTTATTTATAGAAATGACAATAGGGAGCCGGGTGAGGCCCCCCCAGAAGCAAGGTTCAAGTCTCTTGCTTTCTTCCTTAAAAAGAAGAAGAAGAAGAAGAAGAAGAAGAAAAGGAGAAGAGAAAGAAGAAGACAGAAAGAGAAATAGGAGGAGGCTGCACTCCTCGCTTTCAGCTTTGGCGAAGATGGATCCACGTTTCATCTTTAATCACGCCAGGCCCAGGCCCATCTGTCTTGTTTACTCTGCCGAGGAGAGGATGGGCCTCGGTGGCGACCATTACCTCGACACCCGGCTAACAAATGAGGCCCGGCTCGGCCGCGTTTACTGCTGCCACCGCTGGAACACAGCCTGGATTTTCTTTCTTTGTCCCCCATTCCTGACACTCAGCGAAAGCACCCTGTGACTGCCAGATAGCGCAGTGTTTTGGCCACGGTAACACACACACACACACACACACACACACGCCCTCCCCTTCAGTGCCCCCGCACAGGCACACTGACTTCTCACCCCCCCCCTTCCACCAAGAGGCTGGGCTGGGGGGCAGCAGGAAGGGGACAAGTGGAGGCCCGGGTGCAGGAGCAGGCAGGGAAGTTGGGTCCGAAAAAAAAAAAAAGAGAGAGACCCGGAGACACGGGAGGGACTTCTGGAAGGTCAGGCCGTTCCTGGCAGAGCCAGAGGCCAGTTGAGTTCTGGGAGCTGGGCGCAACCCTGTTGCCAATCTAGAATTGTTCTGCCAAGGCCTTCTCTCCTAGACTGCAAACGAATGTGAAACTAGCAAATAAAACAGGGTGCCCCTCCCGGTCTGGGAGATGATGTTGCAGAGACCTTTCCCATAGTTTATCATTGTTTTGCATTGATTATTATTATTATTATTATTATTATTATTATTTTATTATTTTATGTCATGTGCGTCCTCTCTCCTGTTCGCTCTCTGACATTCCAAACCAGGCCCCTTCCTAGTTCTGGGGCTACCTGAGTCTAGAACCCTTCGTTGGTGTGAAAATTTGTGTCCTGTACAGAGTGACAATAGAAATAAATGTTTGGTTTCTTGTGACCAGCACAGCGTGTTTTTGTTGAAACCTTGATATAAAGATACAGACAAATGCCACCCAGCGTATATGTTAAGCATCCCAGTCCATTCGGCCTCATATTGGATGTGGTTGAGGATTTTTTTCAAAGGGTCCAAAGGGACTTTCTGTCTCAGTGGACTCCAAATTGTGGTAACTTGTTTGTTTTCCTTTTGGGGTGGGTGTGTTTTGTTTGGGGCTTTTAATTTTTTCCTCCAGTCCAAAAATGGATTGAAAGTACTGGGAGGGCTGACTTCAATCCCTAATGGGGGGGGGAATGTTTCATTGTAGGACACGAGAGGCTTAAGTATGGCAAAGCCTTTCATATCGTGATTTATTTGTCATAAGCAAATAAAATGCGGTTAAGCTGTCTCTTTCTAGACAGACGACTCTTTGCTTATTAAGGTTCGGAGGGAGGATTCTGCGAGGCCGGCGTCTTTCCTCCCGCCTAAGAAGGTATCGTTTTCCTCTGAGGTGTTTAAAGCTTTAATGAGTCTAATTTTTTGCACAGATGTTTCTGGGTGTTTGCAGGTTTTCAGAGTATTTTTATATTACAAAGGAGCTAGCCGATGCCATAGCTCAAACTCTGACAAGCAAATAGATAATCAAGAAGACAAATGGCCTCTTTTGTGAAGCCCTGCTCCTGTATTAATTTTCATTTTCTTTCTCATAGAAAGTATCGAAAGTACGACTGGGGACCAAATAGCTTTCTGTCTCTGAGGTCCCAGTCACCCCTAGAATGGAGTGGGGGAATGGGAAGGGGGTGCCGGTGACCCTCACAAGCTCTGTCAGGCTCGGGCCACTTTGGGCAGCACCCAAGAGAAGTGCTAAGGTCTGAGGGCTCCAACCTCAGGGTCTCTGGTCTTGTGGTGGGCCAGGATACCACCACCCACCGGCCTCCAAAAAGCTTGGGGCTCAAGAGAGCATACGCAATTAAAAGTCGTTTTTCGGTCCCGTCTCCCACCAGAAAATAAACATAGCTGATTCCACCAGCACGTTTTATTGTTATTTCTTTTGTATTCCTCCGGCTTGCAGCGCGCCCCGGGAGTGTGAGGCTGGGTAGGGCCCAGGACACACGGGCCCGTGTCCACAGCGCGGGAAAGGGCCATAGAACGGCCCTGTTGAAATGCTGCTGGAAGCCTCATAAAAAATCACCCGGACCTGGAGGCTCAGAGCGGCGAGCTTTGTTTCGGTCGAATCTCGGTGTGATGTTTAGCTGCCAGGGGATGTGGCTGCCCTTAGTGGAGGGGGGAAATAGTTCTTAAAAAGCATATGCCCCCCCAGGAATGTCTCTATAGAACCAAATCAAAGTTGCTCCTTGGAAGGTATGAATAGAATAAAAAAAGATTTCTATGGAGCTTAAAGTTCACAGCCATTCTGTTGTAGACAAGAGCTAAGAAAAATGTGAGAATTATACAGAAAACCATTAATCACTTCTTTTCTTTAAATACGTATCCTCTCTCCTTTGTTATTATTCAACAGCAAATCTCCGCAGACCGGCTGTTGGGGGAAAAAAGTGTTAGCTGGCTCTCCCGGATCTGCGAGGGGGAAAAAATTTGGAACCATAAAGTTGAAAACTTTTTTCTCTCAGTTTGGAAGAAGCCCTTCGTCATGAATGGGATCCGCGGAATTCAGGCCAGAGGAGGCAAGAGGCGCAAAGGTAACAAAGCCCCCGCCTGGGCTGCCTTTTTTTTTTTTTTTTTTTTATCGTTTTATGAGCTTTTTTACAAAGGGAAGAAGAAACTCTCTCGCCTCCTTTTCCTTTTTCAACTTTCTTCGCGGGTTTTTTTTATGGTGGATGCTTGGTCAGATTTGCTGCCTTTTATGATGACTGATGCTTGGGTCAGAGGGAGAGAGAGAGGGGCCTTGCACCTGGAGAGTGTTTGAACTGCTTGGGACTGAGGTGTCAGGGCCCCTGAAAAACCCCAGAGAACGTTGTTTGTGAGGCTGCTCAGAAGTGCTTTTCAGGTTTTGGAAAATGCAGGCGGGCCTGGGGAGGTCCAGCATGTGTGCGTGTTTAGCGACACGCACATGTGGCCCGTGTGTTCTGTGACTTCGCTTGTCTACACTGGGGGCTTGTGTCCCATATGTCTGTTTACCGGGGAGATGTCACTGCTGCCTCCTGGAAAAATGGAATGCAGTTCTTGGATGGAATGCCCCAGGCTTGGAGCAGGGTATAGGTAGACGTCTTCATTTTTTTCTTTCTTTCTTTCTTTTTGTGTCTAGCTTGGGATTCTGGACTAAATATTTGCAACTCTGAAGCAGGAAACTGTTCCGTTTACAGGCAAGGTTCGTTGATGCCGGAATCTTCCTCTTCAACTCTGCCCCCCCCCTTCTTCCTGGAGGCTCAGTGTTCAGTTTGGTTTCCTTTTGCTCTCTTGTTTTAGGGGCTCTGTTCCCCCTTGTGGGGCCCTGCTTCTGGGGGCAAGGGAGCCAGGGGGCTCTGCCTCAGACCTGAATGTGCTGGCCCTTTTACCCTGGGGCTCACTGTGGGTTTGGAGGCAGGAGGCTGGCAGGAGAGAGAGTTCATGGAGAGGCCACGTTTTCTAGGCGATTAGCTCAGTATTAGAACCACAAAATGACCTCGGAAGCCCCTTGACCTCTCTGAGACTGGACAGTGTGCTGGCTCCTGGCTCCTGGCTCCTGACTCCTGCCCAGGAGGGAAATTCACACCTCTGCTGGGAGGGGTCCTTGGGCTGTTGTGTGGCCCACCTTCTGCATCTCCCTCCAGCCCCCAACCCCTTCTTTGCTATCTGGGAATTTCTGGATTGTTTTTCTATGACTGTCCATTGGGGAGAAAAGAAGTAAACATTTTAGCTTAGGGGTACAGCTGGAGAAGAGAAGTAGGGTGCTGATCCGGCCCTCTATGTAGAACTCCTTTCCTAGGCCAGGTTCTAAACGCCCCCCCCCCCCCCATCCAGCTCATCCCTCCTTCTTTCCTCTTTCTCTTGGAGGGAGCTGAGGGAAGAAAGACAAAGGGAGGTGAAAAGATAGGTCCATAGGGCTTCAGAGGGCTAAGGGAACAAGCCCCTGGGTTCTAAAGAGGGGGAAGCACCCCCCCCCGCAACAGTCCCTTGGAGGCTACTTTCTCTCAAGGTCTCATATCCAAATCCACAGCTTCTCAACCCATTTTTCTGAAGTTCCTTTGTTTAGGAAGCTATTCCTATAATCACTTATGCCCTCTTCCCCTAATCCCCAGTCCCACCCCAGCTACTCACAGGACCCATGGATACCTCCCTACCAGAGGAGCAAGAGAGATGCGAGAAGGGTCAGGATAGGCTGTTCTGCCCATTTCCAGGGACAGCTCTGCCACAGTAACCAAAGTTCTAGCAACTTTTAATTTTAGGAGATGGGTGGAGAATTTGCTAACATGGAGCCTTTCCAAATCTCTGTTCTACTTGATGCATCTTAAAATCCACACCAGCAGCCATTCTCTTAGGAGGAGAAAGAGACAAAGAGAGACAGACAGGCAGGCAGGCAGACAGACAGACTGAGACTCCAGCTGAGAAGAGAGGAAATGTTCCTTCAGTTAAAACTAGGAGAGACAGAACCTTGCTGGGATGTGTGTGGGGTATTGATTTGCATTTTGTAAATTGTCTCCTGTAACTTGGGGACTCTAACTCAGGCAAGAAATAACTGGCATCGGTGGGTACCATCTCCTTTGTCCCTGAATGGCAGAATACACCCAGGGGCTGGAGGCCTCGGGCAGGAGAGGGAGTGAGTTGAAAGGGAGCTGGGCCGCTCCTGGACTGCAAATGTTTGGGGCTCATGTAAGATATGCACCCATTACTCATAGGGGCAGAGAACCAATTGTGGGCCCTCTAGAGGCCCAGGTGAGGAAGCTGTAGTCACCTGGGACTTTAGGAGCAGCTCTCTGCAGTGTGAGGGGTCCATCAAAGGGAAGGAGGAGGGAAACAATGGAAGGGAAGGTTGGGGTTCATTCCAGGGTTTCAGCCCCATAGGCGAGAGCTTCGAGGTTTCCCTTTTCCCTCACTCCCAGACCCCCAGTCTTTTCAGGGCTGAGAACCTCCAGCAGGCTCCCCCAGCTGGATGGGCTCATCTTCTATAATTCCAGCGGCACTCCTCATCTTTGCCCTCTTCCCTCCAGGTCCCGGGCCCTTCCCGTTGGCCCTCCTATTTGCACCTCCGGGGGCAGCGGGGCTGCCCCAGTCCTGCCAGAGCCCTCGAGGCCGCTCCAGCGCCGGTGGTGGGTCTCCCTGGGAAGAGTGGCCAGCCGGGGAGGGGAGTCTGGTTGGAAAACAGAGTTGGGAAGTTTCCCAGCGTGAGTTGAGCGCTGACGGATTTGTGATCAGCCATAAAACCGGCGCGTTCAGATTCGTAAATCAATCTCCCCTTTCTCACAGAATGAACGTTCGCTTTATCGGCAGCAAGAAAGCGCTCCGCTCGCGCTCAAGCTCTTGTTTATTTGAACATGGACATTCCCAGGATCCGAAAAGAGTGTGGGCATTTTAACAGAACCTGCCTGGCGTGCCTTCCTGTCATTCTGCTGTTCTTTTTCTTGTCCTTAAAGACAATTTCTCAGTTTCAGAGATTGCTGTCTTCCCATGCTCCTGCCTATTACTTCCTTTCTGTCTGTCTCTCTCTCTCGCTCTGTCTTTCTCTCTCTCTCTCTCTTTTTTTTTCTTTCAGACTATAGGGGACTGTTTTCCCAAAGGGGACCATTTTTAATGGATTTGTGGCCAGGACCTTGCAAGGAGTTGCCCTGACTGGAGCCAGGCGCAGGGCCCACGTTGGGAGCAGGCTGAATTCAATACCAGTCTGTGTTTTGTATCTGGACAATCAAAGCCGACCACCCCCCTACAGAGTGCGGGCCCCGCCGACGCCCCACCCGTGTGTCGGGAGCGGGGATTCCGGAGGAGGAGGCAAGGGGCCGCCTGGCCGCCCCAGCTGGAACTTACCGGGGCCGGCGGGCAGGGTGACTGTTTCTTTGGGGGCTGCTAAGGCATCTGGGTCCTCAGCCTTCTCC